TTTTCTTCTTCTTCTTCTTCTTCTTCTTCTTCTTCTTCTTCTTCTTCTCTGCGACACAGTTCTCAGGTCGACTGATCAGAAGTTGTTGCATTAAACGCTGACGCTGCAGTGAACTCTGCATTCTTTGTTGTCCACCATCTTCATGCTGCACACAAGAAGCTGCAAAAGCATTTTATGTTATTATGAATGCAATGTCATTATTATTATTATGCATTATGAAGATGGATGTTTAAAACAACAGCACACAAGAAGGGGACATTCCGGACTTAAAATGGCTCTCTGGGTGATAATGAGACTGCAGATGTTTGATGGAGGCTTCCGCACTGCCAGCAGCGTAACAGAGAAACAACGTGCACAATGACTAAAGATAATGAACAGGACTTAAACTGAACAACCAAAACAAGGGAGACAGCAAGAAGTAGGCTATTTGAGTCATTTACTTCAATTATTTATTCAATTTCATGTTAAAGGTCTGGCACCCAAAATGATAAAAGCATGAACAGCAAAATGCTCTTAAAATATTGGCTTTTAATGCATTGATATTTAGTTGTTGGTCAAAGTGGACCTCATTTTAGCCATTGCAAGCTTTGGTTTTGTATGTAAACATTCTAACTACAGATTTTCAGTTGGGATGTAAAATAGTAAATTTTATACATTTTTTATTAATGGGACTCAACAGCCTATGAACTAAAATGATAAAACTGAGAATACTTTTATTATATGCCTTTTTAATAAAATAAATAGGATATTTTCATTTTATTTATAATTTTAACAGTCATAGCCTGGCTAACTGAACTACATGATCTGCCCGTAATTGACATGGCATTCTGACATTCACATCGAGAAGGTAACTTGTAATAGAAGATTAGATGGTCACACATCTCTAGATAAGGTTATCATGAACATACAAGCTCTTAATCGCCTCTTCCTATAACTAGCTGGCTACTCGACTCGGCTAGCTGCCAACTTTTCAAAAAACCTTTTTGTCGGGACTGACCAAAATGTTATCGCGCACGCAGCCGCATAAGTCAGCGGCTCAAATATCAGGCAATTGGAATTAATTTGCCGTTGTATCCATGTTGTACCCTGCAATCTGATGGTTTGTGCGGCCAAAAGTCGTCGATAAGGGCGGCCTACTGGAGATGGATACCATTGGTTACATCCTGAGAAGGAAAGACATCGCTGAAGGTCCACCCAAAGGACATGTTGGGTTAAATGGATGTTATCTCCTGCATTCTAGTGGATGATGGGGTGGTATGCTAAAGATGTGCAATACCTGAACTTATTCAGATTCATCTGATTTTTAGCAACCTGACCCAAGAGGGCCTGATTCATCATAAAGAAGCAGAATACTCTTAACCCATAAACGACCACCCTTCCTTTCTCAGTTAATCACAAACATTGAAAATTGAGGTAGACTGTCTTCAAATGACAAGAGAATGCAAAAGTGTAATCTGTTGCGCTACTAGTCTAGCTCCGTTTATAAAGCAAGTAGAGAAATGTGAATGATTACAGGTACAGCACAGCATGAAAAGTGAAACAAGGAAGGGAAATACTCCTATCAAGAGTAAGTACACAGCTCATTACTTGTACGTGCTGTCCAACCCCCCATGTGTGACCTGCTCCATCCAGCAATCCATGCCTAGACGATGAGCAGTAATTCCAACCCCCGTCCTCGACAGCAGGAATCCCACATCCTACTATTATAAGTTCACATTCCAGATGTATTTAAACTAAACTAAAGTGACTAACTATTTTGTTCATGGTGCACTCAGTTGTCTTCTGGCTATTTTCAGGTCTAGGAGGCTGTTGGTAACAAACTAGACACCGTTTTCCAACTTGAAATTGTTTGTAAATAAATCAAGTCTGCTGGTACATCAACACAAAAACGAGAAATTATTCAGACTACGGGTATGGTGAGCCGGCGCCGCTGTTGTGAAACTAAGAAACAACTGATGCGGGTTTATGAAGTACAGACTTCTAAGTTTTAGACGGTGTCATCAGTGCGTATAAAATAAGATCGGACTGTGTTCTCGTTGTCTTCCAAGTGCTGATTAGGAAATGATAATCCGCCTCAATGCAGCAGGCGGATTGATGCACCTCCAGCTCCACCAACACCACCACCACAGGAAACGTGTTTCCACTTGAAGCTTTTATTAGTTTAGTAATTGCATCGTACATCAAAGTTGTGAGGAGCCTGTACTGTCTGGGATGTGCCGATAAGGTTCCCGAATGTTGGATGACGGAGCGTATCATCCAGTTCTCTCACAGCACAACTGAATGCTTGAATTAACTATTGACAGCACATGTTAGCAGTTCTCTGTCATGATATACTGAAGATAAGTCCCTTAGTTTTATTTGTCCAGTTTAGGACCAGACTGGGAATCTCGCTGAAGTGTCCTTGAGCAGGAAAAGTGTTCCCTTCTCTGGGGTCGGTGCACCAGTCTGACCATCCTAAAGTCGTCAGGATACAAACCACATTCTCAACTCGTTGTTGATTGTTTTAGTAATAATAATGTCATCAGTGCATTTGAATGTTCCAGCAGTTTCCAACGCAAAGTTAAATGATCCTAACAAGGTGAAACAATACTCTGAATGATCATGTATCCTTAAGTTTAGAACATTTCCCGTTTTCAATTCTATTTTTTTTTTAATACTTTTAAAGATGTATCGCGGAAACAACCAGAGCTTCACTGCTCGGACATCGTCCCACAGGATGCAAGGTGAATATTGCAAACAATGAAGTGCGCACCCTGAAAAGGCACGTGAGCGACCTCAATGCCTTACAGAGGGACCCCGACATTGCAAAGGCCAATTTGTGCCACAAGTTACGAGATCAACAGCTGGCCTATGATCGGATGTTTACGAGCACAAAACAATGCTTACAGACCAAAAAGAAGAACCTGCATCTTATCAAGATCATCAAGGATTTGGTTCTGAAGCACACCGAGACCGCAGAACTACTCGCTGTCAAAAGTGCTGAACTCACGGTCAACGAGACCTGTTTTTGTGTGTATGCGTATACGCTTAAGGTTGGAGGTTCAAGTTTAAGGTGAACACGGATCAACTTTCTGGGAAAATGGCATTCTAGTGTCAAATAAATGATACTGATCAGTAAAGCTCAAACATCCCAGTCAGCACGTTGAGAGAGACGAGGGAGTCGCTGACAGTAATACAGTTTAAACACGAATGATACCCAAACATGATTGACGGGTCAGAATGTGCATTACAATTTATATTAGACAAGGGGGAAGTTTTCATTTTTCATGCTGCGCCAAAGACCGCTGAGACCAGAGACATTGTGGTATCAGGTTGTCAGGGATTTCTTCAATTTGTCTATTTGTATGAACTAATTAGGTTTTAGTGGTCAAACTTCAAGATCCCTGATTTTCTGTACGAGAAAATGCTTTTGCCTGGTTCAGGAATAAGCTTAAATCCATTTCACGCATTTATTTGGGGATAAAATCATACAGTAAGGAGAGTTTGGACAGTCGGTTTGGGGGGCGGGGTTTCTATTTTACTTCATATTTTGTGGACATGGCTGATGCTGAGGGAGGATCGAGCAAGAGAAAAACAACAAGAAGAAAAGACCAATTAAAAGCTAAAAAAAAAAGTAGTGCTCTTTGAAAACTACTGCTTTTGTCCTCGGTGGCCGACATCATCGAAACAAGATTAAAAGTATAAAAAGATTGAGGTGAGAATCTTTACATAATGAAATAACACTTTGCATTAGGAGTCAGACTGCTGTTAAACTCTCAACCCAAACACTCCAAATCTCTTTCTTGACTTGATTGGACGTAAACCTCTTAGAGGGGTTAAACATCGGACACCTGCCATGTTCAGTCCAGAAGCTTAACCTCATGTCAGACCACCTACAACTGTCGGCTTCTACTTATCCCGTGAACTGTTAGTGTAGAGGGATTACATCTCACCTCAGTGAACCATATGTGCTTAAAAGGTCTTTCCCATTGTCACAGTCACAAATGAGGCTCTGATGTTATGTCCAGCATATCATCAATCGGACACAGTGTTTATGACATACTTAGTAGAAAAGTATTTATAACAGATCCTCGCTTAGATATTTGAATGCTTACGTCATTAAAAGGTTAACCAGTTACTTCGCCATTTGACGAATACCAACAGGGTTAAATGGGACGTCACTGCAGCAAAACAGATTTCTTCTTTAGCTCACCGGTGCCAGCACATCATCATCCGTTGGACATAAAAAGCAGCCGGAGACGCTTCAGAGGAATTGATTTTACATCACGTTCACAATGTTGTTTAGCGGAAGACTCAGTGAACATGGTGATCTGAGGTCAGGAGGATAAGCTAAACCGGGTTTAATGGAGTTTTCTAACATTATGTTGGCCAATAGGTTGCGCAGCTGGAAGAGGATTTGAAACTTTTCAGCTCTGCATACTGATTTATCAAAAAACAACTTTCAACTTTAAATCTGACAAAGTAAACAATGTATAGCTTCTTTTACTTATACCCATTGAATTGAAAATAATTAAAAATGTTACAGTAAAAGTAAAGACAATATAAGTAAGTGTGTGTCAATGAATCAATATTTATCAGTTTAATGCCACCATTTTATCAAACTAAGCCGGTCCGATCTAGTTAGTCAGTTATTTTTTATGTTTGGGATCATCATGCTTATATAGTGAAGAATATATTTTAAAATATTTTATCTTTTACTCGTCATGGCTGTAACTCTCTTGTATTTGGGAGTAAGTCAGTCATACTTGTCTCACCTGAAGCTTTTCCACAATGCAGCAGCCAACTACTACCAAGAAGTTACACCGCATAACCACATAATCTCATTTATTTAGCTGGAATTGATTTTAAAAATATAAATATACTTGAATGATTCTGTAGAGCAGTTTGGTAAACAGCTATTGTTGTTACATACGCTCTATAAATAAGTTGACCTCACAGCAGGTTAAACTTTCTCTGATCCCTGGTTTATGTAAGGAAAGCGAAGGCGAGAGGGGGAACCACAAAGCCTGGTCAACTTTTAAAATATTTACAGACACAACTCCACTGATCAAGTCTTTTTCTACACTTGCTTGGGGGAGCGATCCTGTAGAGGAGCACTGTGCAGCCTAAGTGCGTTTACAATCCAGCAAAAGGTGAGGGGTCAAGGATCGTCTTTTGTAGGAATTACTTTTTGTTAAATCCAGATCTGGAGGACTTATGCTTAGACTGTGGCCATTTAATCTCAGCCGTCACCCTCCAGTAGTGAGATAGTCCACACCAAGGAGCTCTGCGACCTGACCACTTTTTCTAAAGCTCTGCATCCATGCAACCCTCACACACTTTCTCAAATTCCTCCGCCTACACGGGCCCACATGGGGAACCCCCTCTATCGCGCACCGGCTTCATCATCCTCTCCATCATCATGGCCGGATTCACCGGTCCAGCCATCGTACTCAACGCTACGGTGATCATTGTGACCCTCATGCACAAGCAGCTGAGGCAGCCGCTCAACTACGCTCTGGTGAACATGGCTTTGGCTGACCTGGGTACAGCAATGACCGGAGGGGTGCTGTCTGTGGTCAACAACGCCCAGGGGTACTTCTCCCTGGGAAGAAGTGGCTGCGTGATGGAGGGCTTTGCGGTGTCCTTGTTCGGTGAGTGAAAGGAGCAGCACAGTACAGGTGACATGCTTTCCTCTGTGAAGCTACATTTTAGGAAACGGATAAACGTTCACTTGCATTTTTCAGGCATGGCCCAGTTTCTCTCGTGCACCCCTGACTTTGCTTTCCCTCACGTGTCCGCAGGCATCACATCTCTGTGCACAGTTGCTCTGATTGCAGTGGAGAGGATGTTTGTTGTGTGTAAACCGTTGGGTCAGATCATTTTCCAAAAAAAGCATGCAGTTGGAGGTATCGCCATATCCTGGTTGTGGTCCCTCTCTTGGAACTTACCCCCCCTGTTTGGCTGGGGCAGGTATGAGCTGGAGGGCGTCGGGACGTCCTGTGCACCGGACTGGCACAACCAAGACCCCAAAAACGTCTCCTACATTGTTGCTTACTTTGCTGTGTGCTTTGCGGTTCCCTTCGCCCTTATCTTGGCATCCTACACAAAGCTAATGTGGACATTACACCAGGTAAGCATTTACAACTGAGCTGGAAAGTATGTACTTAAGTTCTAATTTTGGGGTGCCGTTCTTAAGTATTTTCATTGTACACTTAACAGGGGAATATATAACATATAGATAACCTTTTTCCTGCATTTGTTCAAGATTTTTATCAAATGACATTTGAATAGTATTTCAGCTACCCCTCAATTCAAAGCTCAATTCATTTTTTAAAAGTCTGCCAAACTTCTCCAATGGTTCTAGAAATAGAGAGGGAGTGAGAGGGAGAGAAAGAGAGAAAAGTCACATCTGGTCACCATATGTTAGCAACCAGCGGACTAAACTAACTAGATTTCTAAAATTAGCTCCACCTCGACCAGCTATAAAATGCGACATACTTGTTGCATCAGTGATCGTATCACTATATCTCACATGGTTCATTTTCTACTGAACCAGTGCAGGTTGTATTTGCAATCAGACGTTGTATTTTTACTATGGCGTTGGTATCTTTGGGGTATTTTTTCAGCAATTAATGATATGATGTCTTGTGAGACAACCAGTGGCCCTGACTATTTTAATTCTGCGTTACAGGTATCAAAGATGACCTGTCTGGAAGGCGGCGCAGTAGCTAAGGGAGAGATGAAGGTGGCCTCCATGGTGGTTCTGATGGTCCTGACGTTTCTGATCAGCTGGTTGCCTTACGCCAGCCTGGCCATGCTGGTGGTCTACAACCCTAAAGTGGAGATTCACGCGTTGGTGGGCACAGTGCCCGTTTACCTGGCCAAGAGCAGCACCGTGTTTAACCCTATCATCTACATCTACCTCAACAAACAGGTAATTTAACAACACATACAGATAACAACTTCATTCATAGCCAGATAGGACGAAGACATTGTTGGAAAAGCTTCTTGTGAATCAGCTTTAAAATACGTCACTTTAACACCATCTAGTGGTGTTTATGTACAGCAAACCTTGACTGAGACGTATCAAATTCTGAATGTAACAATATCTCTTTGATTCATTTAAGTCTTCTCCTACTATAAAGTATTTATAATAGAATTATTTTATTCTTGTCTTCGTTCGATTATATTATAACAAAAGTAGATTCAGAATTATGTAGTTGTGAGCAGATATAAACCATCATAATGTTTTTTGAATGTACAATCTTAGTCAACAATTAAGTAGAACTTTTCCTATGAAGAAATATTTTACATAACTACAATGACATTATTTTTGTCCAGAACTAAATTGCAGTCATAACTCACAGAGGGTCATGAATGAACTTTTTATACTGCTTAGGAATTCAAAACAGGAAATTGAAACATGCCATCATTAGTGGTTGTGGTATATTCAACATTATAGTTATTAATTAGTTACTTATAATTATATAGCAAAAAAAATGTATAAGGTTTGGCTGTATTTTACATGGTGACTGGTGTCTGAAACTTAACATCAAAAGTGGTGGAGGTGTTTTTTAACTTTTAATTCTATGGCTGGTTTTGTTTTTGACAGTTTCGTAAATACGCAGTTCCCTTCCTGCTGTGCTGTAAAGAGCCGTTGGACGACGAAGAGGCGTCAGAGGCGGCGACAACTGTGGAAATTTCCCCCAGCAAAGTGTCCCCTGCCTGACACGCCTGCAGCTGTCTTTGTCTGAAATGTAATGCCATGTTTACATCGTGCTTGTGTGTTTAAACTGTGATTAATTGGAATTTTATAGGTGATTTGACGATCTGATTCATTTCGCAAGTACAGACGGTTGTCCAGTGTCTTACCACAAATGGGTGCGAATAAACCAGAACACTAATTCAGCATAAGTTTATTCAATGATGATCAATAGAAAATAAAATGTCATTATCGATTCAAATAAAGTCAAGGCCAAAATTAAACGAAAAATACAAAATATGTATTGATAAAAAACCTAGAAGGTCATAGTAAAGCATTTGCTACTAAGAGAAATTATTTTTACTGAAGAAAAACATTAAGGAGCAAATATCAAGACTTTCAAGTAGAGAACATTACCATGGGTCTTTTCATACTTTTGTACATATTTTACATTATCTTCTATTTTAATACAGCTTTCAGAACATTAATAGTTGCAATAGTAATTATAATTGTAACAATATGAAGAAAACTAATAGAAACGTTCAAATCAATATGTGCTTCTCTGTAAGCTGGTACCTTACCATTTAATTTTTTTCTCTACCTGCAAACAGAGAAACATTGCACCTTGAAAATATTTTTCAACACTCTTTCATTCCCAGCATTGTAAGATGAGGTGTAAATGACAAATATAGATTCCACTAAACCATACACACATCCACAAAAAGTACAAAAATGTCTCACCTTAATACACAAATCTGTTTAGAAAAAGGAGAAACAAAAGCACTATACAGTCACTTGTGCAAAGACAAACAGCTATGTGCTAATATTTAAATACCATTGGTATAGACTGAAACAAATCATCATTTTCTTCTTTCAGGAAACCCTGACATGAGGTAAAAGTAAGTTATTTTCATCTTTAGTTTAACACAACTTTTAAAAGTGTTTACAAAATAATGCATATCTTCAGTTCATCAGTACTGTAATTGCTACGAATAGTACAATGTGCCTGTTATGTGCATTGGTCCTTTTATATGACAGTCATCAACAAAAGGACTACAACACTTTTTTTTTTCCACTCACAAACAATTCAAAGAGCCCTTTCAATGTGCACACAAAATGGAAAACCTACATTTTCATGACAGTATTATGTTAAATTAGAGTACAGTACGCACCCGCCTACAATTCAAACACTCATGAACGACACATTAACCCTAAATGTCGGCTAATTCAAACTTTTCTCAATGGTAATGCCTGAAAAAGCCCACTTCCGTTTATTTATTCCAGTAACCGTATTGTAATATATAAATAAAAAATAAAAACGTCAAGATATTTAGTTGTCTTTTGTTTCAACTTGTTGGCTCCGTTGCTCCTCTTTATGCATACTGGGTGAGGTTTCTTATTCATAAATCTAATTAAGGGGAAAAACACAAAAGGTTCAATCCCACCCAATCAAAGACTCCACCGTGGGACACTATGACCGACAGTTAAGTTGAGACAATGATATGTTTGTCACTGTTGCCTAACGAGGTATACTGCACTGAACGGAGGAACCAGGCCGGCTGAGAGAGAAAGGGGCGAGGGTTTAGTATTGCTTAGCCTCTCTCCAGCACCCTGACACCAGGACACCCTCTGCCCTTCCACCTACAACACAAGCTGGACAGTTTCTGACCTTTGGATGTGTGCATGCGCCTCCTGCCACCACCAGGCTGCAAGGACTCGCACGCGACATGAAGGCTAAGATGTGATTGCCAAGATTCAGTACAAAGGTTCAATGTAATTACACCATCAACAAAGAGCATGTCATGAAAAATCCCAGCACAAGCTATGAGAAATATTAATTTATCCCTGTTATTACCATCCACCATTATTCGTTCTTTCAGCAGCAAAAAGGCATTTCAGTGGGGGCTGACGAAACCTCGGTTTGACTTAGAAACCAACTAAGAAAGCAGCATTGTTAATGCACTATGCATTTTAAATTATTGTGCATGCCCTGCACAAAATATGCAAACGAACGTGTTCATCACATCTGTAAAGAATTTCAGCGCTGGATCCATAAAATGCTCCTTTTGAAAGGGGCTTAACCTTATGTAACTGGTGTTGGTTCAATGCTCCAAAGCTAAGGAATCAAAGTCATTTGCATATCTTGTGCAGAAGTGATGTCACACAAGTAGAACCTCTTAAAAATCCTTTTTTTCATATAGGCAAAATAATGGGTGCATATTAGCAAAAAAGGCAAATAAATATCTGAATCAACCAAATAAGATACTAGTCTGTTTCTATAGCATAGGAGCAGTAAAAGGGTCCGTATTGCTGATCTTTTAAATTATACATAATTACAAAATATAGAATATCTCTTTACAAAGTTTATTTTCTCATATAATACAATTTACAGCATATCAACTATGAAATATTAATCAGGATATTCTAAGAATTTGAAATAACCTGCCTGCTAGTGCATTCATCACAAATGCTTTTGTTTCTTCAAAAGTACATACCTCAAGTTGAATGATGCTATAAGTAGGACAAATATTTCCTGCATAATCTGGTACAACTCTACAAGTGCTCTTCATTTTTTTTGACTCAGCTGTAGCGATCATTAAACGTTCAGCATTAACAACAACAAAGGGACCGACTCATGCTAACAACTACGGAAGGAGATCTGCCTTTCTATGCTTGCATTGAAAACTTGCATGATATGCCAAACCTTAATAAAGTGACCGAGGTAATGACATCGTACTTTTGATTGTCATCACCGTTAAGAGACCTGCCATAGAGAGTATCTCACACATTTGCCAATTGGTCCATTTTTCACTGGCGTCGTTGTTATAAACACGTCTGATGGCCGGCAGGCTGAACCTTGTATGTCACCTCCAGCTCAAGGCCTTCGACAGGGGGGGGGCGCAGTCCGGCCCTCTGTGCTCAGCAGTGGTGGTATCGAGCTCTGTGTTATGAGAACAATTAAATGAACGGGACTAATGTGTCACTCTTCTATATGCCTTTTCTCTTCAATGTAAAAGGCACTTCTTTTGGTCAGAGCCAACAGATGCATTTATTTTTTTTATATATATATATATTTTCACTGGTTTTAGTCTGACAAGTTTCTAAGTTACAGATTCCAGTCGGATCCAGCCACTGCTATAAAGTCGTGATGCAGATCATCTCGTCCGCCAGGTCCTCCTCGTAACGAGCTCTCGGTTCCGTCTCCGGCTCCTCGTCGCTGTAGCTGGCTGCAGTGTCCTGCAGTTCATAGTCGCTCGGAGTCAGCAGTGGGAACACGTTGACCCCGTTGACGCTCGGGGCAATCCCTCCGTTCAGCAGGTGGCTGGCTGCACTCTCCATCTCGTCTATTGTCATCTCGCACGCGTCGGCTATCTCGTGCTTCGTGGCGGCGACAAACTTGGGATCCTTGGCGTACCTCCCGAGCCCTTCTGATATCAAAACCTGCTCCGTAGAAAAAGAGGAAAACAACGTCACTGCGGATTTCTCTTGTCGAAGTCATCTGGCTTGTCACGTTTTCACTTGTCTAAAACTCACCGCTTCCACGAGGCTGGTGGCGCTGCCTCTCTTCTGGTGGTACTGGTTGTGGTATTCAGGAGGCACCTGCAGGTGGACAGGTGAGTACATCCTCTGGGAGAACTCCGGGTCATCTGTGTACCAGGAGCTCTTTCGCACAGACACTTGGCTGCTGGCGACACTCTGCCGGTGTGGGTGGTCCACGCGGATGAGAGGCGTGTAGTAGGGCGACTGGTCTTTACTTGCCGGTGTGGCGGGGGGAGTGGCCCAGGAGCGGGTGGAGCGGGTGGGGGAGAGGCGGTGGGCTCTGCTGGAGTCCAGGCCTGCTACGGCCATAACCTGTTGCATCGGGGAAAGAAAAAGGACAAAATATTGACCTTGGCACGCTTTACTAACACGGCCAGGGGGGGCGGTGCACATCTGATAATCACTAATTTAAAGGAAAATGATCCATTGATTGAAACCATGTCAAAGATGTGATGCAGTGTTCAAAAACATGTAGGTGAGCAAACGCGAGGGATGTGCAGCCTGTGTTACCTGCTGCTGCATGAGGTGCAGTGGTAGAGCAGTACGCTGATGTGGAAGCTCGTCCTGGCTACTTTGCCTGCGCAGACACTCAAAGTTGAAGGATGGCCTTCTGTGACCTGAGTGAGTCAGGAGGGAAGCTGTGAATGACCTCATGCAGGAAGCTTTGACAGTGTGCAAACGGGGCGGGTCGGATGGGTAAATCATACAGTGGGTGTTAAACGCGTTGGTATGAACACGGTTAATAGGGGAAGCTGTGTGAAAAGGGTCTACGTTTGCGCTTTTATTCTGTTTATTTAAAATATGACCATTTAGTGCGTAGACACAGTATGTATATTGTAACCGTGCTCACGCTACGGGATTCATGGGCTCACAATACCTTGAGGCGTGGCAGGAAGCAGCCGTCTCTTTGGTGACCTCCGTGAGTCGCGGTAAAGAGGCTGTTCGTCGTCGTCATAGTAATTGTCGGGGTGGTGGTAACCTTTTGGAGTCTCGTACTCCGCGTCACTGTTCTGATACCTGTCAACATACGGAAAAACCCTGAAGAGACCGTTGAGTTTGTAATTCTTTATAAACCCTTGTGCATGTTTTCTATTCTGAGACAGCTGCACATACAACTACCCAAAAGAGTAATACCTGTCCCCTGAGAGCATACTGTCGTCTTCATAGAACTCCTCCCCGCTGTAATACTCCCCAGAAAGACGGTCTTCATCGAACTCCTCCTCCCTGCGGATGGTGGGGTGGTGTGCGTCTACTCCGTGTGACCTGATGAAAAGGTCAGCGCACAAGGGTCACCGGGTCGCGCACGTTGCTGCTGTTCAGTGGCGTAACTGGAATATGGCCATGCACTGCCATGCACACTCAGGGGTCCCCATTGTCTGTCTCAATGGGGACAGCAATGCAACCGATCACTCTGTCAATATTAACCACACCCAAACCAAGACAACAGGCAGAGGTTTCGGGCTGAAGAGCATCACTCTGTCAACATGTCATCCACCCTGAGGACCTTTATACAAATAATCAAAACCAGATCCACTCTGGAGTGAACTAAGTGTAGGACTTTTTTTTCAGAACCAGTGTTACACTTCCTTGTTGTAGAGCGTTTGGGTGCTTGTGCGAAGCAAACGCATGTATAAAGAAGTGCTGCTCTCAGCGATATTAATAACATTTATGTTATTTCCGTTTCAAAGCGTTGACAAAACTGCGTTATAACAGTCAGATGACACCCAGAGGCGGACTGGCAAACACACAGCTGACTGACTTAACATGGATAAAAGCCATTAGCCAACTTCAAAACCAAATCAAAATAGTTTAAACGAACACAAAAATAAAGTCCTGCTTTTGCTGTTGAGACATACTGCTGGAGCCAAACCTAGAAAAGCAACATACCTAACATAGGTCTCATAGTAGCGCCTTCTGTCCCAAGAAAGCAGAGGGATGGTTGAGAGAAAGCATTTTGGTTAGGAAGGAGAAAGGGAGGAGAGAACACAATGAAAAAGGACGGAGAAAGCATGACATATATATCTATATATAGAGATATATATATACTGTATGTCTATATATATCATACAGTATATGAAACATATACAGCATTCTCATATGTATGTATGAGGAGGATAGAGTGGGATGGCGGATGTGGACACAAGTGCTGGTTGACAATTCCATTTTCTCTCCTTGAGATAAGAAAGAAACCAAAAATCATTTGTCTTTTGTAAAGGAGCAGCAATGAAATTGTCCCCCAACCTTATTGGGTGCTAAAAAAAACAGGCCCAATAGCAGTTGAATAAACAGTGAATGGGAAATCATGAGATAAGTGCACTATTGATCACTTACGAAATGAACTGTCAGTGAATTATAATGTGAAGGGTTTACAATAAAGGTTTGTGAAAAGGAAAGGTTTTAATAAGAAGCCAAGTCCTGCCTGTTGAAAAAAACCCTTTGCAAAAGCTGGTAATTTAAAGCAACATTTCCTTCTCGTTGCAGCGAGCACATGAATCACAGAAACAGTTTTTAAAAAATATTTTTCAGTCCGAGAACTACTTGAAAGGACTAAGAAAGCATCTTAGATGAAGTCTTTTTGTCTATTTTTTCCATCTCTCCATTGGGCAAATTCACAAATTAATCCATTGTGGTTTTTTTCTGCAGGAGAGCAAAGGCGGAAGATGGGGCGTACCTTTGTCCCTGGGGGGTCCGTGGCTTGTCGTAGTCGTAGTAGGAGTTACGAAGACCTGGGTACCCATTGGGAGGTGCATGTTCATAATAACGATGGTGCCCTCCGTTGGG